AACTGTGGGGTCCAACGTGGGGCTGGGAATGGGAGCGGGGCGGACGAAGGACCCCACAGTTCTGGGGGATACCAACTACTACCTCCGGTGGTGACCACCTCAGGATTCGTAGGCTACATTTTTGGCACAAGGTCTACAGTCTTGGTCATTAGCGCCGATAGCTTACTATATACCGTGACGATAAGAAAGACTAACGTTTAGCTATAAAATGACATGGGAAATACTCACAGTCACCGCGTCAACGAAATCAGTTTAGGCTCCAAAGTGCAATTGCTCTCAGCCGCCACTCGACACTCCAGGAAAGCAGTTAGTCGGCGTGATAGCGCGCTAAACGAGCATGAACCAATGTACCATATATTATATGACTAGGGAATCGGAAGGACGACAAGCAACAACTTTTGCTAAGCGAACAAGTGCGCAACTCTGAATTTCCTGGCTGCGGCTAGGCTGAATTAATACGCGGGCCTATCTGGAAGCGCTAGCCAATTGCAAGCGACTGCATTTTTCCGCTAAACCCTAGTGTTTGTGCCGGCCGTAGCCGGACATTTGATGCAAGATATGGGACGGAGAGAACACCGCCCACCCTTTTGATGTTAGTCACTGTTTTGCCGGAATCTCTGGAATTCTTTTCAGACATGGGGGGATGGATGCGTTAGGTATCAATGGTCTTGAATGTCCGCATATATGGAGCGAGATATGAGACGGAGAGACCCCCCTCGTGTTGGTTATTGTCTCACTGGAATCTGAGGAATTCTTTTCAGACATCGGGAGGGGTGTTAGGTAACAATAGTCTAGGGTCTCTATAGCGATTGGACATGTTGGGGGGATTACCCCTCGGTCTCGTTTCTTGCTGAATGTATGTCTGTACGGTTTGGACATTTAGAGGAGGGACCCTCTACCCCATGTCTTGCCGGGTATAATAATAAAGTGAGTACAGGCGTCACGGCAGACGATCCATGACGACCTAGAAAAAGTTGCTTTTGATAGCCTATAATAAGCTAATGGAACTTTTTTTTAAGACAGTTGAAATGGAATGATGTTCAGATGTGGATTTAGTTTGATTGCGAACAGTAATGTGAATTTTATTAGTCTGTGAATAGTTTCTAAAACTTCTGAAAGTTTTATGTTGATGGCCACCTAAATTGCATTTAAAAAAAAGTAAAAATAGTAAATAAATCATTGGAATTCCATCCCAAACAAATTCAAAACTGTTTGACAATGGGGCAAATTTTACACGAGAGATTATAAAAGTACTAGCGACGATTTCAAAATGATATGCTTACAATCTGAGGGGGCTTGACGCCGATATTAAAGAAACTAGCCCGTTCTGAACTGTTTTTTTTTTTAATGTTCTTGTCGGAAAACTATACGGTCACGCTAATTTCCCTTTAAAACGGTAACAAATCTTCCAGTAGGCCTACGGGTGTGCCTTTGGAATGTTAAAATAACTCGGTCCATTCATTCCTTCTAGCGGTAAAAGTTCAAGGCTGCACAAACATTAACAAGACGTGTGGTACCATCAACTAGACAGAAAGCATAACTTTATTAGGCCTCGATTATAATCCAAGCACGTGCAGGAACGTGATCCACATTGTAAATGACGCACTTGAACCCATTATCAAGCGTGCCTCCGCGCGATGAAAACCAAGCTCAACCGCCAACGTGAACCCTTTCTGACCCACCACGCTACAAAACCCAATTACGTGACGTTTCACTCTTTCGAATTTACAGAATACTAAATGACCGTATACTGCTTCAGAAATGAGTTAGTTATATGCGCTCATTTCGGACCCCGGGTTCCTCCTGCATGCACCTCGCTCAAATCAGGACCTTCGTATATCAGAGACGAGAGAAAATAGTGGCCGCCGCAAAATTGAGAGTACCCCGTCGCCAAGAGTTGGTCGTTGTCGCTGCCCAGCAGCCTTTCAGAGAAACACTTGTAAGGAAATAACGAGGTCCACTTCAGAGCTTCTGTAATGACTTAAGGATTTGTGGAGGAAACAGGGTTGAGGATCATTCCCGTGTACTTGCAGCCCTGGTGCAAATGGTTACACAGCATAAAAGTTTAAAATTGCATAAAAACAAGCAGTTTAAAATAAATACAATACGCGAAGATATCTTTAATTAATCGACAGTGTAGTAACCAAGTATTTTGGATTAACCAGGTGTAATTGCTTGAAGTTGGAAGCTGAGGGCGCCGTCTTCCTGTGAAGATGCCGGAGGGGGCCCTTCCACAAAACCACCAGTGGGCGGGACAGAGTATTACCTCTTCGTCGCCCGAAAGTATTGCGGACACAGTTTGTGACACATCTTATCGACAAAATGTAAACTATGTTGTATCTGTTTTACAACCAGAAATATCTCAAGAAGAAAAAATTATCCAAAGCAGTTCCCTGGGAGTAACTGTATAACACTGAAAGACGTTACTCGGACGTAGGCCTACTTCAGCGTCAGAGCAAACCACTGTACATGTACATCTGCTCCTGCTGGCTACTTTACAATCGCCAAAATCTGGTTGCAACTAAAAGAATTAATTTGTAAAATGAACTTGTTGGGACAGAACAGCAAGATCAGTTCTGTCAATTTCGGTCTTGAAAGCGCCAAGAGTCGCAGAACATCTGACGTGGTTTGGTAGACAATTCCATTCAGGAATCGTCCAGGGGTACAATGAGTGAAGATAGCTATCTTTGTTTGCCCGGATACGGTTGTAGATAAGGTCACCATGATGATGTCTTGTAATAGGTCGTGCCACTCGATTTGTGTTGGGTTGGTATAGAAGTTGAAAAATATTGTTTGGGATGAGGCCATGTGTCTCCTTATAGAGGGTACACAGTCGGGCTTTCATTCGTCTAATATCGAGGGATTCCCAATCCAGTTTAGAGATCATGTCAGACACACTGGAGGTTTGTGAGTAATCGTTGAAAATGAACCTAGCAGCACGTCGCTGTACTTTGTCAAGAGTGTCGATGTTGCTTTTCTGGTGTGGATCCCACATCGTCTGACAATATTCCAGGAGTGGTCGAACTAAGGCTTTGTAAGCAATATCAAGAAAACGTCGTTTTCTAGCTTTCGAAAGGGCGGAAATCGTCTCTGTTTCGGGTCATTATATAGCTGGCATCGCAGGGACAAGTACAACAATCGAGTTGGAGACGGAAATGCGAACAAAAGACCAAAACAGTGCAGGTGATTTTCTAGTCGCTCCGTTAACCCAGAAGGGGACGGGGTTGTTGGCTTTTTCGTTTGTGGTTTCGTTTGTTTTCGGTCATTTTCCATTTATTTCAGGTCTTTTTTTATTTTCCCTTTCCTTTGGCGACAAACCTAAATAAGTTTGTCGAGCGCGTAATTTGAAACAAATTTTTGTACAATCTAGACGTAAAGAATTTTGGTCAGAACATCTATACATAGGTAAAGATGAGTCATTATTCAACCGTAAATATATAATTTTCTCCAACTTTTTGACTAAGTAGAGAAGCCGAGTAAGTTTAATTTCATTTGAAATTATCATCTTGTAAGTCTAATAAAGACCATTGCTCATCACTTTGAATTTGTCGTTTATAATGTTTATTATTTCCACAGAAAAGAAAACAGCCTAAATAAATACCAATATTTATGAAATTAAAATAACTTGAAAAATACCAAAATGGAAGAAAAAGTATTCCAGTTATATCCTACAGGTTTCACAATGCCTCCGTAAATCCCTGTATTCTGACTGATAGGTTGTTATTGTGTCATTAACCCTAACAGTCCTCAATTCTGCACCTGTTGGAGGACTGATGGCTGTTAGGGTTAAGTTACTCTTTTTGTGCACAGCGTGGCCGCACAGCAAATACACTTGTACCATTTCATGGATAAGTAATACCTTGGATTTATTAAGGCATTGCACAAAGCAACGAGTGTTTCACATTCATGCAAAGAAAACAAAAAATTACATTCCGTGGCGGATAGAATGCGCATTATTCAATCCTCCCACTTCATGAAAATTATTCTGGCAACTGCATCATTTAAACATTATTTGTGTAACATTTCCCACGTAGACAATGTAATGAAATGAAATAAGGTCTATCAAAATGAGTACGTTCACGAGTCATACTTGGGTCAAATTCATTCCATTGGCTGACATCTATCAAATGAAGCCACACTCAGTCCAACAAGATTCTATATGATTCAAAAACATGACTCAAATTTGAAAATATCTGGGTCTCCAGTTTTGAGAAATTTTTGAGTCCGCCGTGTTCAAATAATATTATAATGAATTATTTCAACCCTATTTTCGAACCAGTCAGAGGGAAATAAGCCTTTGAAAGGTCTACAGTCAGGAAAAAAAAGCTGACAAAGTGACAAATACTATTTTTCATCTGGGCTTGAATGAAACAGGTAAACTTAGAAAAATGTTGCGTTATGCAACAGTACAACTAGCAGAAGAAATAAGTCTCACTAGAACATGCAAAACCATTGGCTTTGCCCGCATGAAAATCGGGCACAAAGTAATCTCAGGTCACTGGCTCCACAGCAGGGATTTTCTCTCCAAGACAACCTGTTCACTGGTACCTGTGACTAGTATACAAATACAACATTGAGGTTGGATAATTGATGTTAGTTTCCCGAGGTATTGGGGGTTCGCCTAGGGGAACAAAAATCGACTGTCCAACTGAAATAAACCATGTTATATTTGTTGACTATACCTCATAGGCTCACACATATTTCAATTAATAACCTCTGAAAATCAAAACCTCATCAAATTTGTTTCCACAAACTTTTATTTTGTTCCTAAGGTTGAAACACAAATAATTAATCTTTTTTTAGTTTACGTTTATTTTACACACAAGAATGCATGCAGATCGTTGCTAGGCTGGTACCACCTCGAGTGCACAGTACACCCGGGCGACAGTTCCTGGATTTTCTGCTCCTGCGCATGCCTTTGACAGTTAAAAACGCATGCGTATTTACTCCTTGCATGAACGATCGCATGTACGCTTGGCAAATAGCAAAAATAGCGACTGGCACGTGACGGTGAATGCACCAATGAGAATTGGGCAATCCCTCGTGAATATGTATGACGTATAGTTATAGAAATTGCTCCATAGAGTGCAGAAAAGGCCAGACAAAAAAACAAAAGTGGTTTCTGATCACATCCCCTCTTGAAAACCAAATCTATTCAGCATTACCATTTCTTTGGGGGGGTTGAGGGGGGGTTGTTTACAAAGACGGACAAAGACGTTTTTAACCTCAAACCTTCAGAACCCTGTACCAGCCCTCTGCCAACTGAAGTATCCAGCCCTATGTCGGTAGTTCGTAGTTCCATTTGTCAGTAGCTTTGTGAGGGTGTGTGCCGGGGGGAGGGGGCTTTATTCAGAAGACATAAAACCCAGACACCACAATAGTCAGGGATCATGCCCAAAAGTCATGGCATGGCCAACACAGCAACGTTGCAAACCTGGAAAGTGGTAAGCAGCTTGGTTCTAACACCCGAGGTTTCCAATACCTAAAGTGAAAGACTGCTTTTTGTCACTTGAAACTACTATACTGCAGAGGGGGGGGCCAGGGTTGCATGAATTAGACCGGTATCGGTCATGGAAACTCTAGTGCTTTTTGAGCACTGATTGTTTTTGCAAAGACTAGGCAAGAGGTGAAAATGTCATACTTCCAAAACAACCTACTGGGCAACCGCTTGCAAGTGACCTGCGGCACTGAAGGCTGGCCATTGGGTACCAGACCAGACGAGGCTTAGGGCTAGGATCAAATCTACTGCTTTAAGGCTATGGCTTTGGGTTTTTGCCACTGATGCACAACACAGTAAGCAGGCATAGCAAGAGAAAACAATGCCAAGCCACATCCAGATTACTTGGCAACGGCTTGCATTAATACACGCATCTATGGAAAATCCATGCATGAAGACGCTCACTGCCACCTTTCACTGGGTTCAGTCTAATTTAAAGCTGTGCCAAGTAAATTTGGACACAGCCGCCAGTTTTGGACATGGTCTTAGTCTGGTGCCTCTCAGGCAAGTGGCATGCATTCTTTGACACAGGATAGAGCCCACAGGTACCAGACTGAGCGATATTAAGAATAGTCAGGCACCAATCAGGCTGACATTACTCCACCTGTACCACATTCATTTGGTGCGGGAAACTAGACACGGTTACCTTCAGCTCAAGTCTGCAGCCTTGATTGTTTGACAGCACTGGTACTGTAAGTTTGGAATTCATCATCTCGTGCATATTCATGATATTGGCAATATTCATTGTCCATGCTGGTAGTTCCAGTAAGCCGTACTTGAGTGCCGCGTCACGTGTATTCACAGTAATGGCCGCAGCCTGTCGGACACATCGGGTTTTCCTGTAACCACTCTTGGATGTGTTGTATATGACCTCCATGGGAGCAACCTTGGCACCAGACGTAGAGACCCTTCACCGGTAGATGGCTGTTAAATAAAGAATTAACGGATGTGGTTTTTAGACTTCTAAACAACAGTGGCCAGATAGTTGCAGTATACGGAGTACAGGTTCTCGGACCATGTGGCCCATTGTGGCCATCTTTGGCTAAAGGGGTGGGGACACCCCGGTGGTGGGGTAGGGGGGGTTGTCACGTGTTCCCCCCACCCCATCCACAACCCCACAGGCTTCAGTTTCACCACTGTTCAACTGCATGATGAAGTTTGTCGCTGTTTCCACGTCACATTTTGCCAGGAGTTTCAACGAACCCTCTAAAATTCTCCCAGTTCCATCGAGCAAGCAAATTCAACATACCACGATGGTACGATAATGTTCCCCAAAATTAATATGGTTGTGATTGGTCAATCGGATGTGCACCATCTCAGCATCCACAACTTACATTCTTTGTAAGGGCTCACTTATCCCAGAGGAAAATCCCAGGAAAAGAAAACTAATTTATCCCAAGAGAAAATTTCAGTCCCGACAGACGCGTGCTATAGCAAAATCAGACAACAATGCACACAGAGTGAGTCATAAATCGCATCCGAATTACATGGCTAGGGCTCATCATGGCACACATTTCTATGAGCAACAGGTTGGGTGGCTTCCGGGGCGGTGGGGTGGAGAGATGTGATTGATTGTGAGCCGTAGCCACGTCATTCGGATGCGGCCCCGGTCAGTCGTACCAAACCGAGCAGGTGTTGGTCAGCTTGCGGCAGTTGGGACGCTGGCAGGCCCAGGAGTACTGGTCAAGCTGACCGCTGCAGTGGTTGCACTTGGTGTACACGGTAGTCGATTGCTGACGGAAACAAAATTTCAAAATGGAATCTTTTAGACCACCGAACAAGCCTCACGCCAGTATTGAAGTCGATCCTATCACGTAGTCAAGTAACAGGTTTGCACCGTGCTAAATATCTCTTTGGTGAGTGGGTGTGGTTATGAAAAGAACCAGAGGGAACTCAACATTTCGGACAGTAAGCTCTGTCATGTCACAAGTCCGTTGTCACCTACAACATGAATTTGACTGAGCAAGTGTATCTTAGGGTCGGCAGGCATCAGAAACTGGCCTTACCTGATTGATGGAGCTGACGTTGCTATGGTTACTGAGTTTGGTGACCTCACTGGCGATGCACCACAACTTAAACCGGGTCAGCAGATCTACACCAAAACGGATGAAAGAAATTAGACTTAAAGTTTGATGCAAAACAAGACAGGACAGATCAAATGTACAGAATAGACCGTTTTTACGGGGAAGCCATTTTATTTGTCCTGTTCCGGTTCCCTGAATCTGTCATATTCAATGTAATCTGTTGAATGGAATGGTACCAGACTATATTGGGTTCTAAACCTCACTTCTGTTTTTTTAACGATGGCTTAAAACATTTTGACATAATTCATCACAATTTTTCAATAATTTTAAACAAAAACTGCCCTGAATTTGTACAAACTTTAATTTTGTCGCAGTTATTTTTACTCTCAAGTTCCAAAAATGAAATGTTTTACTTCACTTTCAATTCAAGATGGCCGACACATGTACAGAGTGTTTATCCTGCGGACCAATCTTCTACAGTGACAGCTGTTTTGGAACAAGGAGTACAAGCCAAACCAAACATGAGAAGCAAACGGCTTCTCATGGAGACTATTATTTGGGGGGAAGATACGTTATTATGTAACTCACCGATGTAGGACATGAACCATTGTTCCTGGTCATCCAGACTTATCTTGTCTCTGATTCGGTCGCCGAGAACGATCAATGCTGACACGGCCATCTGAACGTCTCCCTGTCGTTAAAATGGCACACACTTTATCAGGCCCAAAACCCGAAATTTATTGGCCTCTGCAATGGCTCGGGAAAAAAAAACACGGGAATACAAAATGTGACTGGTTCCCACAAAATGAGTCTTATGACATTTCAGTAATTTCATTTCAGTTGATGCTGGATAGAGCAAACTGAGCTCCTTGTTTTGATATAACACTCGGTTTGGCTTAGTGACGAAAATGAGCATTATGTGGGTGAAAAATTGTGAGGGTTCTTTTTTGAGTTACACTGTGGACAATTCTTTTAAAGGCCTTTAACTCAATCCCCTTTTAAGTGGAAGCACCCCCTCGTTTGGTTGAAAAGAGCAATGTTGGTGGGGAAGAGTTCATTTGGTAGAAGTGCATGCATTTCATAGTCTTTTGTGAACCAGCTAGGTACAGTTCCCACCAAAGGGGGCCTCTGTGCCCTCTTTTAGTCTTGCTCGGGCCGCAAAGTGGATCTGGCCACTTGCGGCTCGCTTGGTTAAGTTTGGTCATCAAATTAGGTCAAACTCCTGACCTTACCTGATTAGCGTAAAAGGCCAACATGTCAGCGACAATAGGGGTGAACTTGGCCGACAGCTGGTTGAACGGCAGCTCCTTGGCGACGGACGGGATGATCGCCGGGGCGACAAGGAGCTGGTTGCCGAGAGAGTCTGGCTCCGTGTCCAGCAGTTCACTGCCAATGCACAGCAAGAAGTCAGGGCCAACTTCATGAAGGTGTCAACGTTCTTGGAGCATTCAATTTTACAATTATCAGCAACCCTACCAGAGCGAATTCCACCAGGGATTTTTGGAGGATTGCACTGGGTCGAGAGAGGTTCAATCCAGGCCTCCATTCTTTGTGTTTTACATAAAGATCACACTGCTCAAAAGTTGAAGAATGAAGACTATGCAAACCGTTTACTATGTACGAGAGGATATTTAAGTACTACCCCTGTTCACTGGGCCTGTACACTTTCAGCTTCCTTTCGGGGTGTATCTAATTTTCAGCTTCGATTAAGCCTCGTTTTAGAAAACGGCCCGGGGGTTATGCAGTTGGAACCTGCCATTCTTCGTTAATAGCCTTGCTCAGGGACACAGGCACCACAACCCTTCAATATGCAGCATCTATTTGGAGACACTGCGCTACTCACATGGCTGGGGTTACAGTGTTGGGCTTGTACTGTTGAGACTGGTCCGGTGAAGGGGGCCTGAAATGATAGAAAAAATATTGAGCATTCTTGACAAGAAGCAATCTTAACGTAGGAATCATTCCCTCCATTTAAAACTGAGCACAGGACAACAGTTGTCACAAAAATACATTTCTACAAGGAGCAAAAGTGAATTGTATTTGTAAGAAAGAGACAAAGGTATAAACTGAAAGAATAAAAAGATTGAAAAAGAAACAGAAATGCAAAAAACTAAATACGATTAGAAATCTATTTAATGCCATTTGCTTCATAAATTCACAGAAATTGAAACAATGAAAACCAACTGATACGAGGCTGAGAACTTGTGTCTACCTGTACGTGTCCACAATCTCGTGTCGCTGCGAGAATGCCTCATTGGGCAGGGTCCAGGCGTCCATGCTGAGCGTGCTCAGCTCCTCGTCGTAGATCTCGTCCACCTCGCCTTCCCCGTCCACCCGCACCTGCTCGCCGAAGAAGAAGTCGGCCGCCGTGTGGCTGCCGTCCCGCGACCGGTCCCGGGCCTTGAGGGCCGCCGGCGTGTGGCCGCCGTCCAGCTCGCTGTCACTCAGGGCCGAGTCGTCGTCTGTCTGTCCGGCTGCAGACTCCACGGTGTTGTCGTTCGGCTGGGGTGTCACTGAAAGCTCTGGGACTACAGTAATGGTAACAAAATTGCAATGCTGAGGTGAAGTACTACATAAACACTCCACAAATTGTTTTATGAGCAAATTGCTTCACAAATCCTATTTTATACTCTAATTCTTCAAAAGTACAAAAGTGTTATGGGGTACTTCACACGTACTTCAAAAGTAAAGTAGTGGTTGAGTAGTTCATAAGTACTTAACAAGTACAGTACTGAAGTTGAGTACTTCAAAAGCACTTAAGTGTGGTACAATGATCATCAAGATTTCCTAAGTAATATATCCTAAGTACTTAAAGTGTAGCACTGCAGCCTAGTACTTCTCAAGTACTTAAAAGGTACAGTACTGCACCTCGTTCAGCATCAGTCTGCTTGAGGCTTTCTGGCTGGGCAATTGCTGGCTTTGCCATAGGATTGTCACTGTACATCAGCTTCAGCATGTTCCACGTCTGGGCAACCTGCAACGACATTTGTGCAAAGAATTCACGGATCTGTCAATGCTTTGAGAATAGCTTGAGAAATGTGAGAATTCCCGGAACAAACCCCACTGAGAACACAGAAAATGCAAGTGGTCTAATAAAGTTCTTTTTCAGCATTAA